TTTTAAAATGGAAATACATAAATGCTACATAGTTGTATATAGGAAAAATAGAGTTTTTAAAAATGAAATAAATAGTTCAGATCCGTAGGTGCTTAAAGACGAAACGTCGTATTAAAAATATTAAGTGTTATTTGACCTTCAACAAAAAAGCTTTTAGTTAAATATTGTCTATCTTACAAAATAAAGTCAAAATAAAACGTAAATCACTACCTTCGGTTTTCCCAGATATCTCGGAAGCCGGACGTGATATTTAATTTCAAAAAAAGCCAATAAATTCTTCTTGAAGGTAAACCTCTTTTCTCCCATTCAGCCAACTTTGTATTTATAACGGTGGGTTAATCCCATAGGCTTAAATTAAATGTTTGCCTCTCTTTATATTTTAGATTTCTACTCGGTAGAATAAGGAAATAGAACAAACCTAACCTAATAATATCTTGATGTTCCAAAACCAGTACCCTCAAATAATCTTCCGATGACATGGAGCTACTTTTAGTATACTGTTTGAAGTGTTTGATCTTGTGACACAATAATTTTAATCTAGTAGTAGCGAATATAATCAGGGGCACAAATGATATGTCCAGTCCTAAAAAAATTACTCCAGAGTACAGTCCTGTAAGTGTTTGATGCACCGCGACGAAGAATCCGTGACTTTCAACCAGGCCGAATGGGTACCAGTTTACAGGGAATACGAACGCTTGAAATTGGGTCCACAGAAACGCTGATACGAATGCTATTTGTAGTACCGTGGATCCATAAATGACCATTAGACCAAACATTAATGTTTTGTTGTATTTCACTTCTTTGGTGAACATTTTCCTAAGAGTTAAATCCGTTTCTTTTACTAGAACGTCTTCCGTACGAAAAATACCTACAGAATAAATATACTAAATACTATGATGATTTTGCATATGTTTTATGTGTGTTTATTAACTATTAAATACTCATCTGTACCTAAAAATATCTCACTAACGTCTCTTCTATGAAGAAAATACATTTTAATAGTGATACCAATTAGAGGAGGTACATATTGGTAATTTTGTTCTCTAAGAGTTTCATCTTCAGTGAGTATCAACCCCAAACACATGGATGAAACGAAAAACAACCAATTTCCTTTAATAAATTTAGCAAAATATTTATAAATTTTCATAAAGGTCTCATTTTCCAAATTGGGGTACCATACTCCAGATGTTATTAGTACATATCTTGTTATAGAAAAAAAGTATGTATTTCCCTTCATTTTTCAACTGTTTAAAGCAAAAATTATTTCTCTATAACATTCGGACTATCAACTTGTTCCTATTTGTAAGTTGTTAAAAAGTAATTTCGTATGTACATAACAAACTTTTGGTGTAATTTGGATTTTAGACAATTTTACAGAAGTTTTAATGCATGTAACTAATAGCTTGAAAATAATTTTAGTTTTTGCGATTTGGCTATATAGGTACATGACAAATTCAATAAAGTTAGACGTAGGGATAATATAGTGGATCATCAGATAATATGTAAATAATTTTGTTATATTGCCAAATAAAATGTGTCCAACACATGACTTTCTTGTAAATTTATTAAAAATATTGAATACAGCCTATGCAATCAAGAAATCGTTCATTTAAAAGAAAAGGGTTAGAAAACTTCAATTTTGAGATTTCAACGAGAATATATATAAAATTATCTCCTTTTATAGGGAAAAAGGGAACAAGTTAGCTTACCAGCACCAGATATCAGATGTAACTCTCTAGTTTTTAGGCTTTGTAAAATTATTGTACTTGAGATATAACCCTTTTCTTCCAAATGAACGAAATTTTTAGAATTTAATATAAAATTTATTAAAAATATTTTTTCTACGACCGTGTATTTTTACCCACTTTCCCGCACGCATTTTAGTTTTGAAAGTGTCACTTTCCCGCACAAGTGCGGGAAAAAATCACTTTCCCGCACTAGTGGCCTTACCACAGAAGAAAAACATTTCGAATAAAATTCTTTCAAATAGAAATGACTTGCAACCTTTGCTGCCACCGTCATTTTCACCTTCATGCAACCTGCAACCGATGTCACTCCCGTCCACGTCATCTTTTCAATCTACGAGCGATACGACTATTAACAGCCAATTAACACCAACTAATTCCTCTGTACCGGCAATTTTACATAATTTACAAAATGCTACAAATTGTGTATTTAACATTAATATCCATAATAATTAGTTGTTTTTATTTAAAGATTTGTATATGTTGAAATAAAATAATTTTCCAAAAATAATTTTTCCTACTTTTTTGTATATACGGTCGTAGAAAAAATAATGTTCCTAACTCATGCGTAAAGTGTCTTTCCCGCACTTGACCGCTTGCCCGAACTCCGCTTCGCGTCATTCGGGCCAACTGCAGTCGCGTGCGGGAAAGTTACACTTTCCGCACTTGTTAGGAAAATAACTATTTCATATCTTCATTCCAACAAAAATAAAACGAATTCAAAATTTGAACTTTTCCTCAAATTTCTGCTACGGTCCCTTTCAGATAAATTATGTACAGGACAAAAATTATTAACAACTCTTATTAAAAGAATGTTTATCTATAATTGTAAATAACAGCAATATAGCATAATGATCCACATAAAAACTTCGTCAAAATCTCCAACTATGTCCAAAATCTAATCAGCTTACCCAGGATCGATTTTCCCAATTTTTCATTGAATAATAAAACAGCTATCGATCAATTACGCATTAATAAGCCCTCTTGTATGTGTACAATAGGCTAAAATGGTAGCATGGGTACATTTATAAGGAATTTATTGCCATAATACTATATAGGGTGCTCCATTTGAAAAATTTATTAATTTGGACTTAAAATGAGTCATATTTATAACATGTTTCAGAAGACTGTGAAATAAATCTGTTCTATTATCACTTTTTTTTTTAGCTTGGTATATTTCGAGATCATTGCTTACCTACCTAAATTATGATAATTTTATTTGGGGTCTGCATTATTTTCTAATTTCACACAAAAAATAATTTCTTGGCAAGCCTGTCTTATTTTTCAAACATATTCTACTATTGAATAGGTATTAACATATCATTCTGAAACTAAAATAAAATACAGTGTGTTATATTTAAAAAATATACATTTTTATTTGCTAGGCGAAAGCGTAAAAAACCAATATATCAAAACATTTTTAAAGTATGCCTTTTTCAAATCCATATAACTGTGCGTGTCTATAACACAAATTGAAATATCGAGCAATTATTCACTAATGAGACACCTTGTATCACAACTATTTTTACATTACCCTTATATTTTTTAATTTTTTTTATTACACTATCCAACAGATTGGCATCCAATTACCGGATAGGAACCATAAATACATTATATAATGCCTAATAACACAGTATTGTTACACGAACGTTCCAGAAACATGCACTTCGGACATTTTCTTATCCTTCCTCAAACGTTGCTGGGATGTTTCTGACAATGACCATGTCATCATTTGTAACGTATTACAGACGTTTCACAAAGACGTTTGTGGAACATCCTGCGATGTTGCTCAAATGTCTTAGGTAAGTTTTTTATACTATTGCTGGGACGTTCCAGAAATGACGTTTCTTTAGTAGGATAATTAAATCTACTACTTTTTCATAAATTTATTTAAAAAAAAAAAAATTTGACAAGAATAAAAAATGTTCATTTTACGTTCTGATTCATTGCGTCTATTTCTTTCCGGAGCCCTTCACAACCAATCACCTATTTTAATTTCCATTTTCTTTTTGTTTACCAATTTACCGAATCTGAAAATGTTTTAATTAAATGATAATATAAACAACTGATATTAAGTTAAAATAATTACCCATAATGATTTCAGCTATTTTTAACTTCGCGTCTTCCTTTTTCTAATGAAAGAAAACAACTGTAAGGGGTTTTCTCGCCACAGAGAAAACGGTTCCTTACGAATGTCGCTGGTTACGGGCGGTTCTCGAGCGCCAGATTTTTGGTTATGGTTTACTCCACAAACTCTCGAAACGTCGTCGAAAGTACTCGGGTAGCTACAAATGGAGATGAAAAATTCCAGGGGTCAAAGGTCACTTAGACAAAGGTAATGGTAGGCAACAAGTAACGGACTTTAATCGTTGCTTGGGCTGGTACAGAATTTATCACTAGCTGAAATACAAGGAGGAAATAAAGTATGGAATTAGTAACCAGTAATACGGCAAGTTAACATTGACACATATATTGTGAATAACTATTTAAACAATAAAATTAATAAAAATTATATATTTCAACGCCCACCCTAGTTCCGGTGATAGTCAATATAACCCTGAACAAAAAAAAAGAAACTAAACGGACGGTATTGAATCCCAACTAGTCTCAATCAGACGTCAAAATTGAGTTAAAATAAAATGAATGTTTCGGTCGCAGAAAAAAAATTAATAACTTGGCTATTTAGTTGGTAATTAAACTAAAACATAATTTCCCATTTCGGTAAGGAAAAATTCTAAAAGCGGTCGTAGCAAAAATTAACTATTTAACTGTTGTATCGGGAATTAAACTAAAATGTAGGTATTTTACTATTTCGGTACATTGTATAAATGGAACGATATTTTCATAAGTACTGTAGCTCAGTGCTACACTTTCAATGCAAAGAAATAGATTCCATCCACCGACCTTGATATTAAATTGTATGACTATCAGTGGTTTGCACCAGTCATAGTCAAAAGTTGTAATTAACTAACTATTAGTTAGTGTTAATCTATAATTAATTTTGAAATGCTTTGCACCACTAGAATAATATTGATAGTTAAGTAATTATAGCTTAACATTTCAATACTCCTGTTGGCATTACTGAATTTTAGGAACTTTTAGGAAGTAAGAGTTGTTTATTCTGATTTTAACCTACAAAGTTCGGTTATTTCAACGTTTTGAGGTTTTGAATTTAATTTGACACTTTTTGCACGTGCATTTTAGCAAATTATATTTGGTTTATTGTATTTAAGCTTATCGTGTTTTTAAATTAAAATGAGCCAGGAAAAGCGTCAAAGATCGGTAAATTTTACAAATGAGGAAAAAATTAATTTATTGTACATAATTAGGAAGTATAAGAACATTATCGAAAATAAAGAGACAGGTGGGGTTACTTGGAAGAACAAGGAAGAAGCGTGGAAAAATGTTGAACGGGAATTCAGCAGTACCTCATCCACGCCAAGGTTAGTAGAAGTCCTGAAACGCTTCTACAATAATAAAAAGAAGGAAACACGGAAACAGGCTTCACTGCAAAAAGTTGAATTTAACAGAACTGGTGGTGGAATGCCGATTGTAGAGGTTAAAGATGATCCAGTTTTTAATCTGACGCTGGACATCATTAATAAAAAAACAGTGTTTGGGTTGCACAACAAATTTGATGATGATGCTGAATCAGATGTAGAACAAGTGCAGCCAAATGCTGTAAATCATGAACAATCAGTAATTGCTAATTTAGCAAATAATGATGGAATTATTATTTTTCCAATGGATGATGATAAAATGGAAGATAATTTTGTGGTATGTAAAATATTTTTTAGTTTGAATCCTTCTAATGAAATACTTTTTTTAGGAGGAACCTCCAGCAAAATTATTGATATGTACACCATCATCATCAGGAAGGACAGTTGGTGGTTCTTCATGTACACCATCATCATCAGGAAGGATAGTGGGTGGTTCTTCATCACCATTATCTACAGTGGCTAGTTCATCAACAGCAGGAAGGGCTGCGATTAATATTAAAAGTGGTGATGGAAAGCGCAAACATAAGTCACATTTTTCTAAAGGGGAAAATGTGGCTTTAAAATATGAAGAAGTTGCAGACATAAAAAAATCAGTTTTTGATATGCAGTTAAGCATATTGACTGCATGTAAAGAAGATTTGGACGAAAAGAGGGAATACGAAAGAAACCATAGAAAACTGAGGGAATTCCGGGAGCAAGAAGAACACGAGTTAAAGAAAAAAGCTTTAAATCTAGACATTGAAATTAAAGAAGCCCAGGTAGCTGCTTTAAAAAGGGTTTAATCTTTTATTTGTGTCCCTTAGTTTCTAAGTTAGATGTATATCTAAAATAAATCTGTAAAATTAAGGATTAATTTTTTTTTTGTAAAACCCAATAAATCCACTAGTAAAGTGGTGTAAACAACACACTGGCATTTGCTGTTTAAAGGCAGTTTGTAAGAGATATTTCTTTATTTTGATTTGTTTTCCCCTTATATTATTAATGCCGTCTCCAATAGTTTTGGTTTAACAAACGAAAAAACCAGTACTTTTTGTGCAATTGGAAAATCGTGTTTTCCAAAAAAACTTATATAGTTTTGCTCCAAATTTAAGTTTTCTTTTTTTGCAGTTTAACATTTTTAAGTTAATTGTTTATGTGTTTAATCTAAACATATATAATTACTATTATTTTTTAAAAGACTTGAAAAATTTAAATTTTCACCCAACATTAATAAAATCTAAAAAAACATGTAAATAAAAAAGACTATTAAATTATATATTATTAAAATAATCATTTATAAAAGCTGTTCTTGTAGCTACATCTAGTTCTTCAATTTCAATATTAGGAATGTAACCATTTGTTATTAGGTCATTAAGAATATGCTCATCTAATTCGCCTGGTAGAGGTGGAGGTTGTTGATCCCCCATTGAGAGGGCAATATTATGAAGCACTGAGGTTGCAACTATAACCGTGAGGAATGTATCTATTTTTAACCTGCATCCATAGGCTAATATTGGAAAACGTTTCTTCAATACACCAAATAACCTTTCAATTGCATTTCTTGTTTTAATGTGTCGCTCATTGTACAATCTTTCTGGATCTGTTGCAGGATTTAGTAATGGTGTCAACAAGTATGGCTTGTTGGCATATCCATTATCTCCTGAAAGATACAAAAATAATTGTTTAATATTGACATACAACGTGATTACTGTAATTATTACTTTATACTCAGAAAACAAATTACTTACCCAGTAGTAAGCTTCCAGGGTATCTACCATTCTCAAATTCTCGTTTTAAACGACTGCTATTAAAAATAGTTGAGTCATGACAACTCCCAGGCCACCTAGCTACCACACTCATAATTTTTAAATTTGCGTCACACACAAACTGTCCATTTATTGAAAAATATCCTTTTCGGTTCCTAAATATTTCTAGATCTTGACCTCCTAAAATAGTTTATATTATCATACCTTACAAAATTACATTTTATTCTAAAATATTGCATATAATATAATATAATATAATATAATATAATAATAATAATATAATATAATATATTGATAACACATATACTGAATATTTTTGTAATAATTGAAAACACGAACCTGGTGATATAATTTTAAAATGTGAGCAATCTATTGCTCCTACTACCCTAGGAAATGTCCCCACATCAAAAAAATCTTGTTGAGTTTTTCTTATAGCGTCAAATTCTCTTGGCATTTTTATATAAAACTGTTTAAGATTTGCTATGGCTTCCGATACTCTTAGAACAATTCTTGATACAGTGGAAAAGTGCATGCCAGCAAAATCTGCCACTGCATCCAAATGTCCACCAGTAGAATAAAGACGAAGGGTCGTGAGAATTTGATTCATTGGTGACACACAATTATTTCTGAAAATAGGTTATTTAAGAAAAATTATTTTGTTTATAATTTCACACTTACAAATCATATGGAAAATGCAGCCTATCTTCTATTCTTAATAAAAGTTGCTGAACTGCTTCTTTCGAAAGTCGGAATCTTTTCCGAAATGTAGCATTATCCATTTGATTAAAATAATCAGCTCTTTCATAAATCTGTCTAGGAACTCCATATTCTATTAATTCTAATACATCTAACTCGTCGTCGTCATCTATCACCTCCATATCATTAATAAAGTTTACCAATTCTATTGCAGCGTTCATTTTAAAATCACAACTACTATCCAATTTTAGGTATGATAAATAATCTGTATAATATAAAAAATCGCTAATGGTAAAGACAAAACATTCACTGGTAATTATAAACAAAGAAATAGTTAGGTTAGGAAACAGTTTAATCTACACTTTAGTTAGGGATTAACTTTAATTATTAGTTTGTATTTTAATTAATACTTAAAGTGTCTGTGCAAATAAAAATTGTATTTAACCAGTAGTTAGCTTTAACTACCACTTTAATTATGACCGGTGCAAACCACTGTCAATGACATAAACCCTACTCCTAATTTCTAAGCCGACATTGGTGAAAAAAACGGTCGGTGCGCATGACAATTTGGACGCCAGACTGTCAATTTCGATTATTCTACGTCACGTTTTTCAAGGGCGTACTATGATAAATTATATTATTTTTTATTAATAACGCCCTATTTTAATAATTATTATTATTTGAACATTTGTTTCAGCTGCGTATTAATCAAAAATCATTTTTAAGGTATGTCTTGTTTGAAGGAAGCATATTTAAGGAAGCGACGCTGGACTGAGATACAAATACATACTATAGAATGGAGCCCAGATTACCGAGGCATTTTTAAGTTTGGATCTGACATATGATTGTAAAGTAGCTGAAGTGTATGGAAATCGGTGAAAATTTTTGAATTACGAATGACGAATCCTAAGGACTTACATGATTCACACGTTTTCTTTTGCATATGTTCTGAAAAAGATTTTTTTGAGTCATACCCTACCCCAAGATCTTTGATTAAGTCTGCTCTAGGTATCGATGTAACATCAAGCAAATAAATAGCTCATAATACTTTATTTTAAGTAATAACTCACGACATAGCATTTAGATGGGTTTAATAGGAGCCGATTTTTTACACACCATTCATTAATAATAATAATACTCTCCCTAATTCACCCCCTTACGAGTTAATTTCAACCCCTGAAGTCGACTGAACGACTTGTGTAGGGGAAGGGACGGCTATTATTATTATTTACCGTGGCGCTCCGGGGCGACTTAAAGATGATTGATGGTGCCATTTGACTTACAGGTGAGGAAAACCCGGAAAACCTCACCCACCATCATCGAGACGGTAATGTATGGCGAATTTTTTTAATCTGCATGTCATATCAACAGAAATTGAATTTCTATTAATACGCCACACATCAAATCCTAAACCGAACCATGCAATTTAATTAAAAATCCACATGGTCTGGTCTGGGATTCGAAACCCAGCAGTCTCAGACTCATAAACTTGCCTATAAATGAATATAAGCGCGATAGACCGCTACACCACCGTCCCCATTAGTTTGCATTTTCTCAGTATCGGATACATTAATAATTTTGTAGTAAAGTTTAAGATCGTCTGCATAGAGTAAACTATTTACTTTTAGGCCCGCAATAATGTCATTGATAAAAATAATATAAACTAAAAAACAATAAAAATTAAAAAATAATGGCCCCAACACTGAGCCTTGCGGTACTCCAGAAGTGGCCGTGAACTTTATAACGTGACATCTAGTTATTTTATCTACTTGTTTAATGTGTTTGAGCTCAATTGATAGGACGTGGGTTAGGAAAATATACATGTTTATTTAAAATACACAAAACTTAATCATTGGCTCTTAAACAAACAAATAAATAATTTTTATACATTTCATAAAATATAAAAACGAATCAATTCCTTTAAATGCACTAATCTGAAACAAACAGGTTTTTTTTTATAAATACCCCAAGTAAAGAAACGTTTATGATTATTACAATCTGATCATTAAGATCAATTGGCAATTTTATTTTAACCTGACTTATCCATAGGAGATGAAAATGAAAAACTTCATAAACTATTCTACTCACTAGTGTACCTTAGAGTCTAATTATTTTGCTACGAGACAGTTAACGTATAACACTTAACCTCACTATACTCTGCCTTAATCTAACATCACTGAACTAACTCAAAAGGCTTGGTTCTCTTGAGTTTTCTTATTAGATTGGCATTGTTGAGGAACTGGATAATTGCAAAGTTTCCATGTTGAAGCAGTCGGTGCTGGTAACTACTAGCTAATTTTTGGATTGCACTTTCAACAGTCTCCACTTTAAGGTCCCTATAAAGATCAGTATTGCGGCAGTACCAGGGTGCATCGACGATGGTCCTTAATACTTTATTCTGGAAACGTTAAATAACTTGGATGTTACTATAACTGGCAAAGCTCCAAAGCTGGCGAATTGCTTCATTTCCACGAATTCCTTTAAATGCATTATTCTGAAACAAATGATAGGCAATTAAAAAGGATTTATACAGTTTATTGGATTAATAATAGTTTTATTAATATTGTTTTAAATTAACTATAATAAAATAAACAATACTCATGACTTAACCAAACATGAAGCTCCGCTTTTCAATCGGCTGTAGAACTAAAAAATAAAACTGGTGTAGTACTCACCTTAATTTCTAAAGACATATTCTGCTTCCCATATAACAACAGCACAACGCATAAATAACAAAAAATCTGATGTGTCCAACACATGACTTTCCTATCTAGTTATTATAGGCTTTTTCCGGTTATTTTGTACAACCTTTTGCAACACCTCTATAAACGTTTAGAGGATAAACTAAATATATACATTTTCTACATACATCTACCTCGAAACATTTTTCTATAGATATTCATTGAAAATGAAAATAATGAAAAATTGAAATTTAGCACTTTTCCTACAATTTTTCCATTACGGTCCATTTAGAAAAATCATGTATAAACAAAAATTATAGGGATCGATATCGCAAACAACTTTTAGTTCAACAATTTTCATAAAAATCAGAATTTTGCACATTTTGTCGAGGATACAGACACACACAGACACACATAAATTTGGTTAAGATCTGGTGACAACATCTGCACTATTTTAAGGTCGGTTTTTTAAAATTACTTTCATGAATTGTTTATTGTGCAAATAAAGCACGTCATATACTACCTTTTTAGCCCAAAATCCGCATTTGTAAAAGAGTGGCACTTACGACATGTTGCATAAGTTTCACAGATGTATTCGTATTTCCTGACTGACTGACTGACTAACTGACTAACTGAATGGCTGATCTATACAGCCAAAACTAGTAAGTCTAGAAAATTGAAATATAAAACACTAGAAAGTTGATATATTGTCATAATTTGATATTATTGGCGCATACGTGCGCTAAAGTAACTTTGGCACACGCTTGTATATTTTCATTTGAAAAAAATAAAAGAAGGCTAATCAATATTTTAAAATAAAATGTAGGCTAATCTAAAATATTTTAATTGACTTCCTAATATTTTAAATCATCCAACAGTAATTTCCGTAAATAACTAAATCATAAATAAGTGCCGACATATAAGTACTAAAACATTTTTTTTTTCTTCAAAGAGTAGGATCATGTCAAATAAAATTACAATATTATAACGGAAGAAGGTAGCCAATAACCGTAGCCGTGCTTTCACAGCCAACATGTGGCAACTACGATACCCTGTAACATTTTAAAAGTCTAATTATAAAATGTTATTTTAAATGTATGCCATCCGGTATAATTCAATTATCGCCAACACATAATATTCTAAAGAAAGGGAAATTTCTTGAAGTGGGAGTACCACTAACCAAACGATCTCAAATTAGATTTGTAAATTTCATTTTATTATTACCTTTTGATCGTATCGGTGGTGCCTTGGCTGTTATAGTGGTAAGCATAAAAAGTATAATGTCTTTAATAAATATCTCAGTAGAAATATTATTCAAACCTTTTGTTAATTATTAGTTTTTTTATAGTAAAGTTAAATGTGTTTTTATGATTCATTCTGGTTGCTAGAACGGCACAATATGTATAGTCACTAGTTTTTATTATCTATTGGTTCATTTTTTTAAAAAAGTAGAAATTTATATATCGTACAGAGCCACGTGAAAAACAAAATCTATTTTTGTCTAGAAAACGAATGGAATCAGCCATAAAGCCATCACTCAAACGACATAACTCAACTGCCATAAAACAACCACTGTAAACCACATGCGGTAATCTGAACGTTGGTTCCCGAGGAGCAGAAATCTCTTGATCGAGCTGAGTTAATTGGAAAAGCGACAGCTACAACTCGAAGCTTACTAAGAAGATAGAGTAACCGACAAAGGCGTTGGTTTCCAAGGGCATAAATCTCAACTACCTATGGCTATCTAGAAATGGCTAGCAAAAAAAAAAGCAAAAATGTGGTAATTACTAGTGACTAAAATTATTTCTGTACGAATCAAAATTTGATACCTGATAACTGTAAATAATTTGTTTTCTGAACGGTTCCTTGTTTTTTAAATAAAATCGTTAATTTTTATAAGTATATATGTTGAATCTTATTTTTAAAAGGTTACAAAAATTCTCTTTCATTCACACTAAATTCTGTATAGTTTTTATTAACTTCTTTTTATTGATAAAGCTAGAATTTATAATTATCACTAGCTTTTAAAAATAAAAAAGAGAATTATTGGTGCCCAACATTTCCTAGAGAAATTACTACCCTTAAAATTGTCTATTTGAAAAGCCGAATTCACGACAGAGAAAAGTATGGTCAATGTGCTCATTTATTTTTTTAATTTTTAAGGTAAGTAACATTTGCTATTAAATTTCACTGAGCTAGTAAAAATCTCTATAAGTGTTTTGAAATTACATTTATCAAAAAGTTAACGAATAATATTACAAAATGGCGGGCAAAGTGTCAGGGTAATAGAATATTGTTAATAGAATATTGCAACCCTCGCTAACGTTATGCTGTCTGCCTATGTGACTGGCATTCGGTTTGCCTAATTTCAGTAATTTCCACCACGATCTTCTATTTCTATTCGACGACTGACTGTTAACCTGTTGCCATCTTTTCAATTATATACTAGTTGTATGCGTAACACGAATATATAAGTACTATAATATATTAATAATATTGATATTTTATTATGAAAGAAGACAAAATATTTTTAAACGAATCTATGCTTATTTTAAAAAGTATCGAACGGTTTAACAGCTAATGTATTGTAAACTTGTACCCATCCATCGTGTACTGATTTTTTGAGATCTTTCTTTATGGTTAACGTCGTATTAATGTCTAAATATTGGAACTCGTTTGATTCCAATTTCGGCCATTTATTAATCCCTAATATGTCAGTTTTCTCGGAAACCGGATCTCTGAAATAAAAAGAAATCATTTAATTGAGTCATCTCAAATTCTCCTAAATATAATAATTTAATGTATACAGGGTCCATAAGTCATGGATCAAATAAAGTGAGGCAACAGCGGCCAAACTTTTTTATTCTAAATGAATCATCCTATAATATATTTTTTTGTACCTTAGGGACTAAAACATGCGTTTTACTCCCTTATTTTAGGGACTGAAGTGCCACTTTTACTCCCTTGGGACTCAAATAGTTTAGTCCCAAGAGATTAAAAAATTTTAGTCTCGCAAATAACAAAATCAATAGAAACCATAGCAAACTACTTTATTCTGGAGGTAATATAACAAGACCCCTTTTATAAGCGAATAAATTTATCTATTTTCCCGAAAATAGTTTTGCATATATTTTTATTAATTAATAGTACAATTATTGACAACACAATTGATTACTATAATACGTCAAAATAATAAATTTCAATTTGACATTTAGTGTATACCTACATGATTTAGGTATAATGTAATGCCTATATTAAAGGAACTGTCAACGAGGATATTTAAGTTTATTTGCAAAGGAAGGAAGGCGAATGTCCCTGCGGGACAAAAAATAACGTATGTATCACGAGACTAAAGTGCGTTTTAATCCCTCAAGTTTAAAAGTGGCACTTTAGTCCCTTGGTACATAATATGCATTTTTATAATCTCCTCGATGAGATTTCAACGAAGTATTACACTTGATGTTTTTATGTATACAGGGTATCCTGGACTATTTAATCCAGATTATTTTTCATAAGTGAATAGAGAAATTTGAGTGGGACAAAAACTAGTCCATACCATACAACTTTTTAAGATATTTTAATTTTATATAGCTCCAGAAAAATTATTGCTTAAATATTTACAAGTAGAAGGAATGGCACTTCACTCCATAATCTCGGAATTTCCCTAGATGTGGCAACGTCGCAATACATGGTGTAGATAGTAAGTATTTTTACATTTCCCCAGACATCGAGTGCTTTTGTAGCCAGAAAAGCCACAGAAAACGGAAACGTCGCATTGTGCCACGACGCTTCGATCGAGAGATCCTTAATGCAGATAAGAGGAAAAGCTGGACATATGTCATCGGGCGAGGTGGGGACGGAAGAGAGCATAAGGACCTAAGATGCACTACCTGTTCTAGCAAGCATTTAATTATTTAGGTAAAAGGCTAAGGATAAAATGGGCATCGAGGAGGGCGTTGTCAACAATGTATAGCTTGTCATCCAGGAAAGGGTTGTCAACTGTCAGCTGTCAAAATGATACTAGAACTAAAAGACATACAGACATAAACGGTATGTCAAAAGGACAATTAATAACTTTACAGAAGAATTTGATTTGAATTGGGATTTGAATTAGAGCATAATTTTTCCTATTCCCCAGATTTAACTTTCAGCGATTATCTTCTGTTTCCAAATTTGAATAAATGACTCGGCGGTAAGAGATGTCTGCTGTAAGTAGAATGCTAATAATTGGAATATCGTTTGAATAAGTGTGTTGAGCGACCAGGAGCCTAGTTCATAAAAGTACTTTGCAACTTTACACTTTGTACTTTGCAAATTTACGAGTGTAAAATACTTGTGTTTCGTAAAATTATATCGTTATCTTTTTTTATTTTCACTTTGCAAATTGCTTTTTAAATTTTACTTTTAAACTCGTCAAATTTCTCTTTTATGGAATAAATTTACTAAAATTTGCAAAGTTGCAAAGTAGTTTTATGAAATATGCCCAGAACCCGTATTCAGTAACTGTGTGAAAAATGTGGGAGTAGGCGTGTAGAAGTACTCTCTCACAATTTGGCCTTTCTGCGCATGTCACTCGTCTAAAATTATAAGGCATCATGTGAGAGGTGAGATGGAGCAGTCGTGTGGAGCATACATTAAAATGGAAATGTGCCCAGCCAATGAGAACGCTCCGGCATCAGCCGGGGGTGGCCTATGTGCCGCCAAATTCAAAATTCCAATTTATGTCAGTTCGTTATTTAAATTTTGTTAGGGAACTTGACATTTGGCGCTTTGGCGGTAATTAACCTAACCTTAGATTTCAGATTTCGTTGGTTTGGTGATATTCACTGATAATCTAAATCTATAAATCTTATCATTGTACCTACAGTTTTGTTGAGTGCATATTAGAGTCGAAAAAAATAAATATTTCAAATTGCTAATTTTAATACATTAACTGAGTTGGTTTAGTTTTATAGTGGTTTTAAATTTCAATAATTTATTTACCTTACTTTTCAGAATTTTTAATTTTGAACATAAACTAAACTTATTTTGCAGTTTACAGCAGGAAAATATGGAATTACAGGGGAGGTAATTATTTTTTTATATTGTGACATTTTCAAAATAAGAATATTAAGATTATAATATATATCTTGTGTTTATTTTACAGTCAACGAATTTTGTGAAACAGACACTTAAGGAAATTTCACAGAATCTACTGGACAGGAACAAAATAAACATATTATCTGTCCAATTTGTACCAATATGGAGAATTTTTCTTTTTATAATTATTTAAACAAACATTTGCTTGATATTCACCATATATCTATTAAAGAATATGTTTTAAATTTTAAGAATTTTGAGGAATTTACATCTTGGAGAGCACAGGAAAATAAGGAAGTTAATTATGCTTGTCACACAGAAACAAATTTAAAAATCTGATGTGTCCAACACATGACTTTCCTATCTAGTTATATAAATGTTTAGAGGATAAACTAAATATATACATTGTCCACATACATCTACCTTGAAACATTTTTCTATAGATATTCATGGAAAACGAAAATACTGAAAAATTTTAATTTCCTACAATTTTTTCTTTACGGTCCATTTTAGAAAAATCATGTATAAACAAAAATTATAGAGATCGATACCGCAAACAACTTTTATTTCAAAAACTTTCATAATAAAAATCAGAATTTTGCACATTTTGTCAAATTTCTCGAATACGGACCATTTCAGGAAATTTTTACATAAAACAAAAATTACAGATAATAATATTAGAAGTAACTTTTATTTGAACAATTTTCCTCTCCAAACATAAATAACAGATATATTCCATAAAATATAAAAACGGCCTCCCATAAAGTACCCCCCCAGATGTTCCGAATTTGTCCAAAATCTAATCATTTCACGTCAGGCCGAAATAAACCTTAAGTTTAAAATTTAATGTTTTTTTCTTCATCCGTTTTTGAGTTTTCTTCAAAATTCGAAATTTACACATTTTCTCAAATATCTCGAATACGGTCCATTTTAGAGAAATTATGTATAGAATAAAAATTATAGAGAATTATATTACAAACAACTTTTATTTGAACAATTTTTATAAAAAAATATTGTTTTTACATTTTGTTAAATTTCTCGAATACGGACCATTTTAGGAAAATTTTGTATAGAACAAAAATTATAGATAATAATATTAGAAGTAACTTTTATTTAAAGAATTTTCTTCTCCAAACGTAAATAACAGATATATTCCATAAAATATAAAAATGACCACCTATAAAGTACCCCCCCAAATGTTCCGACTCTGCCCAAAATCTAATCAGCTCATTAGACGCTGAAACAAAGCTTAAGTTTAAAATTTGGTGTTTTTCTGTGTATCGGTTCATGAGTTATGCGTTATACAGACACACACACATACACACACACACACACACACACACACACACACACACACACACACACACACACACACACACACACACACACACACACACACACACACACACACACACACACACACACACACACACACACACACACACACACACACACACACACACACACACACACACACACACACACACACACACACACACACACACACACACACACACACACACACACACACACACACACACACACACACACACACACACACACACACACACACACACACACACACACACACACACACACACACACACACACACACACACACACACACACACACACACACACACACACACACACACACACACACACACACACACACACACACACACACACACACACACACACACACACACACACACACACACACACACACACACACACACACACACACACACACACACACACACACACACACACACACACACACACACACACACACACACACACACACACACACACACACACACACACACACACACACACACACACACACACACACACACACACACACACACACACACACACACACACACACACACACACACACACACACACACACACACACACACACACACACACACACACACACACACACACACACACACACACACACACACACACACACACACACACACACACACACACACACACACACACACACACACACACACACACAGACACACACACATACACACACACACAGACATCATCGCGAAAATAGTCAAAACGGATTCAGGGGACCTCAAAACGTAAAAATCCGTCGAAAACTCGAGGTCGAAAAAAATCATGATTCCTATACTTTCCTTATATCTGTATACAGATAGGAAAGTAAAAATGGTGAAGAACGCATATTTTACAATTGTAATTAGGTATTACGAACAAATTAATTGCCAGTGGGAAGGTTTGGTATATCTAAGGGTTGCGACATACGATGTATTCTATCAACTATACGTAAAATTATGAATAATGGATTACATTTAAATATTTTGTCATGTAAAGTATGAAATATAAAATCTGGGGAAAGTATTCGCATCCGAGGAACGTGCCCCTCAAAATTTTTAGTGAGAGTATTAATATATGGTAATTAGTAGTATTCATATAATAATTTTAATGTTGCTAATTTTAATAATATTTTTTATTAGGATCATATCAATTAAAATTTCTTGAAACTCATGTCAGACATGCAGTTGGACAATTAGCTACAGTGGTGACAAACAACAGGAAGATTCAAAATAATAAACTTGATAACGAGAGGAGACTTAGCATATTTAATAAGGAAGTATAATATTGACAAGAAAAGGGACGCTGATGATATTATATAGCTACTACTTTGAAAATTAAAGAATGGAACAGGCAAGGAAATAACCATGCATTTTTGTTCAAAAGAATTGGTATGTACATAAAAAAACATTTAAAAATATGCAATTTTTATAGGGTTAAGGTTTAGATGGTGCAGGTATAGGTTGGGTTTTTATTTTCAGGTGAGAGTTACCCTGGATTAAAGGATGAAGATTTTGCAGTGAGTTATATGAATGGTGTTATGGAAAAGAAATTAAGAGACTTTTAAAGGATTATTTGTATTGATGGAGCAAATGGAACTGACCGAAGAATTTTGGATCTTACAATACTTCTTATTAAGGAAGAGAATAATATGGGATTTCCAGTGGCATTTTTACTTTCAAACAAGTGAGATCAAACAATTAAAGACATTTTTTTAGGGCACTTCTATCAAGACTGGGGGAGATACTTCAGACAGAATATATAATGAGCGATAATGACCCAAAATACTATAATGCATGGATCTAGGTTATGAATTCCTATGAAAAATCCAGAAGACTTCTTTGTTCATGGCATATAATCTAGAATTGGAACATCCAAAGTAGATCAAAACTTAAGAAGGCATAAAAAAGACAAGAAATGAAGAACAATTCGAGAGAAGCTAAAATGGTGGTTCCCACCTTATCGAGACGGAGGCCTACAAGGTTAAACTCGTAGCGTAACAAAAACGAGAAATTATTCAACTTGGAACGAAATACCGAAAGCCGATAGTAGTGTTAGCACGTTGAATTTTTTGGTTTGTGAAGCATTGGCAGTACTTAGGTTAAACCATCTGATGATTTTTACAAGCCTTGATTTTTAAAACCATTTTATATCGCTTTTTGATTAGGGTTTAGAAACTTGTTCGAGCAATTTATCCAATAATAATTGGCCCTTTCACCTCTTAAGCCTGCTCATGTAAAATATTTGGGTTTCTTACTTCGCCTATTTATATTCTGTTAATAAAGGACACAAGGATGAGTATTGCAACTATGTTAAAAGAAATAAATTGGCTTTCAGTTCAGAATTATGTTCAGTACATGACTGATATTTATTTATAAAATAAAAATGACAGTACCATCGCATCAGATCTATTAGAAAAAATTCAATATAATTGACAACATCACAACTATAATACAAGAAACCAATCTGACTTTCATATACGGCAAGCCATCACTAAAAGTTCCCAAAATACAATTTTTATTAAAAGTTTAAAAAATTTCATAGACTGCCTACAGAAATTAAAAAAAAAAAACAATAAATGTATTCAAAAGTAACCTCAAACAACACTTGATAAATAAACAGAATGGATATACTTTCTTGTGATAATACTCTTTAAACCTGCCCTTTATAAGTATTTCCCTTAATTTATTGTTATTTTTCCCCTCGTTTTATCCGCATTTATTATAGATTATTTGTTTTGAGATCATGTACCTTATTTTAAAAAATTACTTGTTTAAAAAATTACTTGATGTTATATTAATACAACTTACTATGTTTAAATTATTAATAGTTTTGTGAAGATAGGTTATAGCAACTTATAGCCACAAAACTATTTTTGTGTTAAAGTATATCTATAGAGAGCAATGTAATTTACAAAGACCTTCTTTCAACATAATAATAAATGACAACTTTATATTTAAAATGAAAAACACAACAAAATACCTCGGTATCATAATTGATCCAAATTTGAAATGGGCATTATATCCTACCTCTTTTTTATATAATAAAAAAGTACTTTGTATAAGAACATTATATTATCTATCTTGCTGTACCTTTATTTATGGAAAGCCTGAACTGAGATATATTACAAACTATTTGCAATAAATATCAAAAGAAGTATACATTTTTAAATAATTTGACATTTAAGAGCCATTCACATATCACAGTTGACATCTTGATACTTGACAGGCACAGCCAAGCATTATTCTGATTTTTGCCAAATAAAATGGCCGGTTAATTATTCTATGGGGTTGCGACAGAGAACCAGTAATTTGATGAAAGTGTTTTTGTGGCTAGGGGCGAAATATTAGTTCGCTTAATAGCACCACCATAAAAAAGTCATTTTTAAGAAACTGCTTATATATTTTTCATAAATTGGCAGGCTTGGCGACTAGTTTCGAATGAAAATAGCCTCCAAAATGACTATAGTTGCCAATTATGAAGGTCGCAACCCGCCTTAGAAATTTCACTTTTACTATCAACAGCTGTTGTTTGACAGATCGTTAGAGAATGTTTGTAATTTATGGAATGCAAAGAATGTTAGGAATTTTGACGTTAGAAATAAGTTGAATTTCTAAAATTGTCACATAAGGAATGCATTGGCGGATTTTAAGAAAATTGATATTAATGTAGTTAGGATGAACCGAAAATTCTGAAAATCAATAGGGTTCTAAGTTAGAAGTAATTATTCAAGAAAATCAAAATCGCAAGTCAATTAGAACTTTCATTCTAGAGTTATCGTGCCGGCATACATATATACAGACGACCAGACGAAAATTTTTGTTTTGCATTTTCGGACACAGAATGATCAGAAACATAAAAAAAAGTTTTAAAAAATGAGGGTCAGAAATTTTTTTCGTCTGCACGAATGCAATACTGAGGCCAGGGCCTCAGTAATATGTCCTTAATACAAAAATTCCGCATAACTACATTAATTGGAATTTTGAATTTGGCTATATTTGAATCCATTACAGAACCTACTTAAAAATATTTCCTTAATACAGAATTCCGCATACTACATAAATTGGAATTTTGAATTTGGCGGCACATATGCCACACCCCGGTTGATGCCGGAGCGTTCTCATTGGCTGGGCATATTTGTATTTTAAAAATAAATATTTATAATTGATATACTTACAAGTTTTTGGCAAAATTGGTAAACAAAGTTACGTATCTTTCACTAGTCAAAATATCATCTTCAGGCATTGTATTTAAATTTGAATTATTATAATATACCCATAAGTAAGAATTATCATCACCATGAGCTACTCTATTTGCTTCTAAAATAAAAATAATTTATAATTAATTATACATTTTTTATCATGTTAGTGGTAGTCAAAGAAAATAAATTCATGGTAGTAAACATGTAAAAATGCATTACCTGGAACGTATGAGTGTTCCCCAGGCATACTGCCTACGTAAGAAAATTGGTAGAAATATACATCGCTAAATCTAGACTGAACCTTAGCATGATGGATAATTGGTCTTCCAAATGATGTATCACTGAAGAACTAAAATAGATTTCAATAATTTTATAAAAAACGCTAAATGCACAAAAATTATTAAATATTCACCTGTATTAGTTTCCCAGGATGTTCTTGAAACGAGCTATCTGTATAGATTTGTTTAATTGCTTCTCCTGCGTTTTGTCTTTGATCATCATCAGTCAATTGCATATTATCGTTAACCAAAAGAGTGACATTGTTATCTACGGCCCTAGTAGTCCAAGTGCAGAATCCATCTACGTCTGAATATTAATACTATTTTAGATTTATCGAATAAATGGTGTTCCTCAAATGATATTTTAAAGACGACCAAAAAATACATATTTTTACTTTAAAACCAGTAAGTAAATGTATTGATCTTCATCATCTTAGGATTAAAAACAATGTTTTAAATCAATATATTTTTGGAGGTGAATTTATCATTATAATATTAAAACCGGTAACGGTATTATTTACTTTCTCTTAATTTTATATCTTTCGTCAAATTGATTTTCTACTAGTAAGTTTTTAGAGACTACTATACAAGTGCTAATCTCAATTATTTTAAAGATATTTTAATTTTAAAATGAGCGTACCAGAGGCATCCCAGATCATCTCTTCTGAACAAATACCAATCATCAACGGTACTTTTTGCATTTGTCCATTTTCCAGGGCATCGTACATCCTTTCAGTGATAAAAGCATTTTCATGTTCTGGTTCGATCACTGGAGTAAACACAAAACCTTGAATTATTTGATTATTGTACCAAATTGTCTAAAAATATTGAAATAAACTACTTTAGAAGTTGTAAAAGTATCACGTTAGTAAATTTGCCCTCATTTGACCATTTTAGAGAATATTTGAGTGGTATTTACATGATATCAGACCTTTATAAAGAAAGTTTTTGATAAAATTTAGTAAAACTTGTGTTAAACGAAATTCCAGTCTTTTTTTTTGAGAATTGGCAACCGAATAATTATTTATTTATATTTTAATATTTTCTTTAATTAAAAATTAAATAATTAAGTTATATATTTTCTCATCAAAATAAATGGAGTTAATAAAATAGAAATGGAAAAAGGATATTTAGGGAAGAAAGGTTTTTAAGTAAATCTGAACGATGAGAATTATGGTGGCCTACAAGAAAAAATTAAGTGGTTGATATTAGCAAAAGAAGAATTATGAGAGAATCGGTTTTATAGTTCTAAAAACTTATCGCTTAGATATCCGAAAAATATGAAATTAAATTCCCAGGAAATTCCCAAACAAATCCCAATTTACCCTTACAAAATATTGAAAATTATTTTTGAACCCCAAAGCAGAAGAAAATTTAATGACCTACTGCTACTCCTGTTAGACGCACCGCCGTTCTTCCATGGCGATTGAGATGGAAACAAAGTCGCAGAAAACAAAAGGTTTTTTCAATTTTTCGGTCAGCAAAAGTGCAAAACAAAATGATCAACCTTTCATTAAATTGTTTGCTTCCTTAATATTTTTCACCTTTAAAGCCATCGAGTACGGAGTGGAGATGACATACCGTACAAATGTTCAAAATAATTTGATACTACGAGACTGACGTTAGGATGGTAACAAGATGGCGCTTTGTTTAATGTAATAAAATTTTGATATTTATAATTATTTATATTTCAATGAATACTTACGTAATAATATATCAATTACAAATTAAATCACAAAAGAAAATTTGTATTAATATTTATGTAGAGTTTTCTAATTTAAACATATTTATACAGGCAGTTAGGAAATCAACTATTGGAAATAACATTTAATACGTATTTTTTGAATACGAAATTTCTAATTTTGACTAGATTATTCATAAAATTGTGTTTTGATAAAATATTACTGACATCTAGGCAATCAATGTTACTTTCTTGTATTTTTAGTTGCATATGCATAACTCGCTCATTTCATTGACAAAAAAAAATAATTTTCATTTATTCTAAAAAACTTGTAGTTGCTTTATATTGCTAGTTAAAGTTATGTAGTTTTTTAGAAGGTGAGTTATTTTATCGTGTATTATGTTTTAAATATTTTGTGTTGATTAAGAATAGATACACAACATTATTATTAGGTTGTAAGTTTAACCAAATTTGATTTTTATAAGTTACCTGTCCTTTTTTAATAAAAACTCTCAATAATAATAATAAATATAGTAATTTTAAAACCAAAAATGGTTTATTTTATTTGTTTTTTTTTTTCGCAACTGGTGACATAAAGAATTTTCCGTAACCAGTTTCATAATGTTCAACATTATGGTTACGTAAAGTAGAACATTTTGACACTAGCTGCGATTACAAAAAAATGTCACTTTGTGTCAAAATTAGAAAACATAACTAAAATTTAAAAAGTGTTCATTTTGCTTACAAAAATGTATTGAGAAAGTCATAATTCATGAATGCTTAATTTATAAATGCAAGACGTTCCAGAAAATATATTTATTAAGCCATAAAGCATAAATGCTAAATATTATAAGACTAATACTAATAAAAATATTCCCAAGTAAGTATACAGGGTGTTTCAAAAAACAGGTGACATCGCTCCTGGGGTTCTTACCCAAAAATAAATTAAATAGTTCCAATCAAGATGGAAATTTGAAAAATGATCAACAGTATCAAAAATTATAGCAAGTCAGAAAAGATGACATTAGCATACTAGATATTTTTATGGTTCTATTTTTAGCTTGATATGTAATAAGAGAGTTTGATAAAATTGAAACTCCTAAACGAAGCCAAAATTAAACGGTGTATTTTATTGGAGTAATTTAAATAAATAACTAATTGTGCCATTAGAAAGTAAAAAAGTTAGTGACGTACATATTTTTTGTTAAAAATGTTTAAAGTGCTCGTTCGCACGCGCGCTTTAAACCCATTCACATCTTTTAATTGCTATTTGGATACATTTTACAACTAAAATTTCATTCTATTCGTTAAAGCCGTATCGGAAATATTTTGAAAAAACCTAAACGAATTAAAAATATAAATACCCTATGTTTTTGAAATAAAGCATCTGCGGACCCATGTCAATAGGAACTATTTATCTGATTTTTGGGTAAGGAATCACACCAGGAGTGGTGTTTTTTGGAACTGTGTTAAATGTTGTTGTATTTTTGTATTGTTGTTATTTTCATGAAAATTGTAGCATGTTTTTTTGTGAAAAATAAATAAGAAAGACTTGCCAGACGTTTTCGTCACTGTCCTATTTTTTTATAAGTTTGTACCATTGGACATCGGTCTGCATTAGACTAATTCCTAATTATAGGTCCTAATTGGAAATTCTTAAATATAGTGCGTCATAGGACACTGTGTTGATGTTATCGAAAAGCTAATAATAGCGATGGATCTACATAGGACGTCTTTCGAGAAGGTATATGAAACCTTGATGAATCAGTTTTCGCTAGAACATTTAGGTTTATTCCAATACGCGCAAAAACCGTAATATTACCATAATAATTATGCGCTGTATACAAATTTTTCGTAGAGTGTATGATTTGTACGGTTATATCACGGTTTTCGGGCGTGTTGGAACATACCTGATATCACCGAAGTTCAAGGGTACCTGAAGCTTCTTGAAAAAACAATTGAAGCAATGTCTTCACTCGACAAGAAGCTCTTCGATTTCCTGTAAGAAAATGATTCAAAAAGTATCGACATTGATGGTGAGATGAAAAAAGCTAATCAATATCACTGTCAATTTAATACTCTAAAATATAAGGTAGAAAAATAATTAAATACAGTAACCGTTAGAGCTAGTAGTAGTCTGTGTGTCTAATTCATCATTTCAAAATCAAATACCTCTTCCAAAAATTAAATCTAGGAAATTTGGAAGAGATGTTGAGAATTGGCTACTCTTCTGGTCAATTTCGTAGGATTTACAAACATGAAGATTTAGAAATCGAAGATAATTTTTTTTATCTGCACCAAGCAACAATACAAAAAAAAAACAATATTTAACTAACACCTTGTATAATTAAATATAACAAAAACATTATAGTAACAACATAATGATAAAAGAATATTATCCAGGTAGATTCGTCATAGCGAAATTATAAAAATATTTAAACTTTTTTGAATGAAACCGTCCTTATTTAAAATTATAAATAAGAAAATATATGTTAATTTAATATCATACCTAAATTATTTTGATAACATCATTTTTCAAATATACTACAGAACAAATATTTTTCCCCGAAATGTCTCGAACACAGGATACTACATTTGATTTGTTGCTAATAATCTCTATGTAAAAACGTTATCTATATAGTCAGTTCTTTTCTGAATTCTTTGGAAATTTGTAAATAGAGGCGTGTATTTAAAGCCTTTAAAGCCACCGAATTGCCGCATGCAACGCTAGGCGACTTCTGGCAATTACTGTCGTGTACGTTTGTACCCTCCTCCAAAATGGTACCAGGCAGATCTCCGTGGAATCCACAGTATCAAGTATCAACTTCGTCCACGATTAAGGGCGAAGCGGCAGGTCGTCACACACAGACGGATCAGAACATAAAGTTGGGGCTCTTTTGCTGGAAGATCGCAGATTGACCTTTGATGAGCTGGCCAAAAAACGTCAATGAGTATGCAGCAGGGACTCCATACACTCAATTTTGGCGAATAATCCGCAATACCGAAAATTGTCAGCCAGATGGGTACAAAATGCTCACCGCAGAACACAAAGTGAAGCGTGTCCAATGCGTCCACGAAATGTTTGCCAATTTGAAAGAAGAAAAGAAAGAATTTCTTGATTCAATAGTCACAGAAGATGAAGCATGTGCCCATTATTAAACTCCAGGGGTGAAGCAGCAATCGAAACAATATCGACACACGCATTCGCCAAAAGTCAAAAAGTTTAAACAAGAAAAACCGGCAAGCAAGGTTATGGCCACTGTCTATTGGGACAAAAAGGGCTAGTCGATTTCATGCCCTGTAGAACAACTATAAACTCCGATCGGTACTGCGAGACTCTGAGAAAACTTCTCCAAGAGCTATCCCAAACAAACGAAGAGGAATGATGACCAAATAAGTCCGCCTTCATCACGACAACGCACATCCACATATAGCCAACATGACAACGTCACTTTTTGCAGAATTCGTTTTGGATGTAATAGAGCTCCTCACTACAGTCTTGTTGCCCCCTGTGATTCCATATGTTTTCTGCCCTAAAAAAACATCTAAAAAGAATTAAATTTGCGAGCGACGAAGATGCAGTCGTCTCCTTCCTACGCGAGGCAACTGGATCTTGATTCGATAGGGATACAAAAGTTCGTCGTTCGGATGAAAAAAATCATCGACAAAAATGGCGATTACATAGAAAAATAGCTTTTAAATGTTGTAACATACTTTGAAAACAAATGTAATTTAGGGGAGAGGGTGGATGATTCGGCCAGTTTATATAAATAACCTTATAAAACCCATATTTCTTGGCAAATATTAAGAGTTTGTATTGCTACATAATCTTTAGACATTTCTAAGACTATTAAAAGCCAAAATATAGTAACAAACTAATTTCCAGGATTTTGCGCAATAAATATAACAATGTCAACAATTTGGTCACATTCTCCACCACCGGAGGCAGATTCGACCAGCACTGAGGGAGGATTCGGCCTATGTATTAATTCGTATAAAAGAGGGATATTGGCATAATATTTAGTACAAAAGTTGTATTACCTCAATTTAGCAAAAAAAAAATATTTTCTCGATAAGTATACATTGAAACAAAAGTATCGTGAAGAAAAATATAAGCTTTAATGAACATCCAGCCCTTGGAAATAATAATTAATAATAATTGAAACAGTGATTGAGTTCGTGTAGTTCCAGTTTTTTGTGGTTTAGCAAGCCTACCTCAATATCATTAACTTGCACACCATTTCTATATCATTAAGTGGAAGCTGGTTAAATATCTCTTTCACCTTTTAAAGTTTTCCTCCTTTTTCTCCTAAATTCATGTTAATTTATCAGAGCCTACCTCTGGAACTATGGCACTTTTTGTTTTTTGTTCCCAATTTTTGTCTCTCTCTCTCTAACCATGAGTACGCTTGTTAAGCGACTTTAAACTTTTAGAACTGAACATCAGATTGACCTATAGCAACTGCGGGTTCTGTTGTGCTATTTTTGGCTCTCAGAAAAACGTTCTGTAAAGCCCGGCTTAGCACAGCAAAATCGCGTATGTGATATTATTATTTTGTCAAGACATTGAGTTGAACTTTTTGGATTTCCCAAAAAAAAGAAAAGTAAAATATAAATTACATTTCAAATTTGATCATCCTTTAAATATAACTTCCTTCTCCAGTCGCAACTAGGCATGAGTAACTGCACCTCGAGCGAGGCTTTTGCGGTGCTGTTTTTGTTTCTTCCCTAGAACCTTAGATAAAAGAGACCGAAGATGTAACATTGCACACTGCGCATGTTGTCTGTTTTAACTCCAAGCAGGGCTGCTGTTTCAGTACAATTGTACTAAATTTAGTACATTTCTCACGGCAAAGTACAAAAATACATTTTAAGTCAAATCAGGTAAAATTTAGTACAATTTGAAATACTGATCGTCTTTGTGACACCATCTATAATAGAAAGCCTAAGTTTTCCGATATAAGAGTAAGTATTGTAAATATTGGCGGTATTTTCCCTAAAGAAAAGGGATGTTAAGCAAGGTATATTCCAATAACGAACAGAAACCCGTCACCGACTCCAGGATTCTGCGCCGTAGATTATTGGGAGTGCCAAATTATCTATTGCGCAGAATCCTGGTGTCAGTGACTGGTTTATGATCGTACAATTTATTTTTACGATATAAAAACTTGCCTTTAAACTTAATTAAAATAATAAAAACTATTCATATTAACGTATCGGTATATTCTAGTGGTATATTCCAATGTTTCAAAGTACATAAGCAACACAAACAAACCACTCCCATCCATCCTACAGTTGACATTCGACAAGATTTGACATGACAACTGACAACATACGTGACAGTTTTGACAAATGACAGTCCATCTAAAATTTAGTACAATTTAGTACATTTTCCTCGAATTTTCTAGTACATTTCTAAATATCTCTGCGGCAGCCCTGACTCCAAGTAACCCACCAATTGAAAATCATTGTTTGCACGACGCCACCCGAATTGCTCCGATTTCCCATTCAACGCTCACCTCCGCCTGAGTTTCAATCACCATTGACAGCTGTTTTTGATTTATTTGTTGGTGTTTTAGCAATTTAAAGTGTTCTAGTTATTCAATTTTAAACTCAAAATGCCACGATGTATCTTAAGAAATTGTATATACATATAATACAAGTACCAATGTTATGAAATATAAAAAATATATTCGTTTTCAGCGGTAAATATTTATTAACGTTTTGACATAATCCTTTGAGCTGAATACATCAGATCCGCATCAAGGGATTTCAATAAATATTCATCAAATACATTTCAGAAAACAGATTTCGTATTACTTACATAAATTTACAAAAGGGTAAAATTTTAAATATTTAATTTAAATAAGTAAGTAAATAGACATTGTTGCTAACGAAATTTTGTTTTTAAAAGTAGTTTTATAAGAATATTTACTAAAGGTGGTTTTTAGCTCTTTTTGGTAGATAAATAAGAAGTAAAGAAGCATAGTTGATTAGTAGTATTTTTATAAGAATATTGGATAAAATACAGGATGAATAACTTAAAATTTCAAGATAATGTAATAATCGATTTTAAAGGAAATACAAAAACAAATGAGATTTATTCAAAATAATCGATTAATTAAAAAATCGATTTATCGTTTAATCGGTGTTTTAATTAATCGATTATTTTCGATTAATCTATTATTTTCGATTAATCGATTATTTTAGATTAATCGATTATTTTCGATTAATCGATTATTTTCAAATTTTCAAAGGTATTATATGAAAATAATTGATTGATCGAATATAATTCGTTATTTTATATAACCAATATTTCGGTTATTTTTTAGAAATATCGATTTATCGGTTAATCAGTTTTTTAATATTTATTAATTATTTTTGATTTATTGATTTTTATCGATTATTTTAGATTTTTCAAAGATAATAGAATAATCAATTTTAAAGGAAATATGAAAAGGATTATTAGAAAATAATCGATAATTCGGTTATTTTTTTGGAAAATAGATTTATCGTAGAATCGGCTTCTTAATTAATCGATTATTTTCGGTATTTCAATGTTAATCGAATTATCGATTTTAAATGAAATACAATAAAAATAAATTATTGATAATAATCGATTGTTCGAAAATAATCGATTATTTAAAATAATCGACAATTCGGTTTTTTTTTTGAAAATCGATTTATCAGTTAATCGACTTTTTAATTAATCAATTATTTTCGATTTTTCAAAGATTATCAAATAATCTGTTTCAATGGACGAAAAAAATGGATTATTTGAAAATAATCGATTATTTAAAATAAACGATAATTTTTTGTAAACACTGATTTATCGGTTAATTGGCTTTTTAATTAATCGATTATTTTTGATTTTTCAAAGATAATCAATTTTAAAGGAAATACGAAAAACAAATAGATTGAAAACAATGGATTGATCGAAAATAATCGATTATTTTCAATGATCGATTATTTATTTCGACAATCATTCATCCTCTATATTAATTAATATTCCTAAAGAAAACAGCAATTTCTCATTTTGACTAATTTTTAATATTATGTAATAGCCGTAGAAAAAATATAATGTTTGACTCAAAAGGTTTGATTTGCAGTATTCGCCTGCGCACATGCTTTTTTATAATACTCGTAGACAATGAGTACAATTTCTTGCTCTATTAACAATATTCTATTTCAACATTTTACTGTAGTATTTTGCTGAAAAGTCACTAGTAAATAAACGCTAACGAAATATTCTATAAAAGGTCTTCTTTTTACATAAAATGTTGTGCATCTGTTTGATATTAAAAAAAATCAGGTTAATTTTATTTCATAATACAAAATTCCATTAAACATATATTTTAAATAAATATAATAGTTCATTATGATGCTAATAAACAAAGTCCGGTCCTTGTCACAGATTTCGGGTTTCTGCCCAGTTCCCCCACTCCGTTAACCTTTCTTTAGAAATTGGCAACATTTGCGCAGGTTAAACACCGGTGTATGTTATATCTCTGGTCTATTTTATCTAAGCCTAGAACCAACGATGGCACAACGGGATCTATTCAGTCCTAGTCGCCGATGGAGAAAAATTAGTTCTGCATATAAAACATTCTATTGCGTATTACATTTTTTATCATCAGTTCATTGACTTCTCTGTCAGTTTTGCGTTTATACTTTCGATACATCTACAAAAACGAACAGAAGATTGTTTAACTAATGCTTATACTAGATATGGGGATGATTTCCGCCGTAGCCGAAACCTTTACCTTCCTAGGGGCCGAATCATCACCATTAGTCCAAATTCACAAATATGATACGTGAGCCAGTTATTATTTATAGTATTTATATTTAAGGTTAGGTTATTTGTGAATCATAGCTCTAAATATGCCACTAAATACGAGCACTAAGTGAAATATTTTTACAAATTGACTATTTATGAGAGTTTTCTAAATTTGTAAATTGCAAAACTCGTCTTATTTTCTCTAAAAACGTTCAAAATTGTGTCACCACAAACAAATACCTGTGAGACGTTGTCCATGTGGCTCAATACTAAAAACAAACTTATACGCATTAAATATCATTAACGTTTTGCAGGAAATTTGAAATAGTTTAAATCGCTCCTGGCCGAATCCTCTCAGGAGCCGAACCCTTCACCGCCACCCCTACTATGAAAAAACAAATTGGAAAATTGGAGACCTTACTTTGAATACACGCCTCATTTTTTTTTCTTTAATTATCATCTTTTCAATTTTTCTTTGATTTGTTTTCACTTTAGGAATATGAAGGATAAAGGTGCAATTTTTATGATTTCGTAGGGGCAATTAGGAATTTTTCATTTTCGGAATTTCCAAATCTGCATTTAGTTTTCGAATGCAAACCGATTTTGTCACTTTACTACTGTGTTTCTATACGTTGTCAAAAGGGTTAATTTAAGAAAAATTTAGAGAGATGGGTTGAGACGGGAATCTTAATCTGATTGACTTCAAATTTACGAATTCGGACATCAACGCGTATGTACTAAGATAGCCCAATTGTTTGAATAAACTTGTTTTGAAATGGATTGGACTGGACTGCCCAAGTTCGAGTTTCTGGGTTTGATCCCCGGTCTTACACATTTTTTCTTTTTTAAAATCTCAGCTTTTTCAATTTTTCTTTGGTTCGTTTTCACTTTGGGGACATGAAGCTATGAATTTCATAATTCTGTAGAAGGAATTAGGGATTTTTCATTTTTAGAATTTTCAAATAATATACATTTAGTTTTCGGATCTTAACCGATTTTCTCACTTTATATTTGCAATATTTGCTTACTGGAAAATCTACCGAAGCTGCATCATTCAACGTTTTAGCTGGAACACTCTGCAGATATTCCAACAACTCTTTTGAACTGGTGTTAGGATTGAAATTTGGATTCAAATAACCTGCTAAGGAGTAAGCAATATCCTTGTGATGCCTTTGATATGCCCATGGACAGAGAGTGGAGCCACTTTGAGATATTCCGGCTCTAAATAAACCTTAAACAAAATATTAGAATAGGGATATAAAAATGTTTTCTATGGTTTCTACCTTGTGATTTTGGACTCATTATCTGGAAAGTAACTGATGCACCTCCTGCACTTTGACCGAAAATCGTGACTTTTGATGGATCTCCGCCGAAATATTTTATATTTTCTTGTACCCATTTCAGGCCTAATTGTTGGTCTTTGAGACCGTAGTTACCTGGAATTACTGTATCTCCAGTAGAAAGAAATCCTACAAGAAAAATATTTGCAAAATTCCAACTACAAATTGTAATTGTTACAAAAAAATATTTTATCAGAAAAATCGAAAACATTAAATTAGCAAATACAAATTAAATAAAAAATTGATAAATTACGATATAGATCAAAAATTAAAAACTTCAAAAACAGGACATAAAATAGTGGAAAAATCAACAAAAAATATTCTATTATTCTATATATACAGGGTGTCCTGAAATTAGACGGTCCTATTTTAACAGCGTATTTTACATCCAAAAATAGAAGTAAAAGTTCACATAAACATAGGTCCGAAAACGTTTCTTTTCCGAGATACAGGGTGTTAAAAGTGAAGTCCAGATGACACATTTTGTAAATATTTTCTAAACATTTAAAGATAACTAAGTGAAATTTGGTACAAATGCTTACCTTTTACGTTCTATTTAATGGACTAAACCCCAGTTTTTGATCATCTTCATAGGTGGGTAAATTAGCGGGGGGGTTAAGGTAAAATTGCCCTAAGTTTTTTGTTAACAGTTTTTAATATTTTTGACTATAAAATTTGGAAAACCAATGTATTCTTTATAATAAAGCTACTTCTGTTGTATCTTGCCAGGACGCACCATTTTCAAGAGAAAAGCATTTGAAAGTTTCAGGATAAGTTGATGTTATACGAAAGTGTGAACAATAATTAGTAGGCTTGTGGAATCAGAAATATAATTTTTTTTTAACTGTGGAAAACCGGTGACTAAAGAAATTTTAGAAAATATTTACAAAAATGTGCCATCAGGACTTCACTTGTAACACCCTGTATCTCGAAAACGGAACGTTTTCGGACATATGTTTATATGAACTTTTACTCCTATTTTAGGATTTAGATTATGCTGTTAAAATATGACCGTCTAATTTCGGGACACCGTGTATATATTTTTTTAATATGATACAATAAACCGAAACAATGAGAAAATGAAAATATCGTATGAAATAAAAATTTAAATAACAAATAATTAAAAAAAATATCAAATTTTAAAATAACAGAAATTAAAAAATAATAAAGAAAAAATGATACAAATAGAGTTAATGATGGAAATTTTAATTTAATTATCAAGCAAATTTTTAAACATTGCAAAAATGAGAATAGAGAAATTAAATGAAATGAAAAATATGAAATAAACTAAAAATATAAAAAAAATAATAATAAATAAAAAATAAGAAAGATTTGGAAATTAGAAACAATTGAAAAATAAAATAGTAAAAAATCAATATTTTTTTTTAATTAATATTTAGGTACATGCATGCATGACGTACTTAAATAGCATATTGCTGAGTTAATTTTTAGTAAAAATATCTTAATGACAATATCCAATTATCATGCCCAAGTAGCACCATAAAAACATTTTGGGTTTATTTCAGTTTTAAAATGGTTTTAATATGGTAAATAAGAAGATACTGGTTTTAAGGTTACCTTGTTAATATACTACAGGCACTTAACAGCCGTTTAGGATTTAATACACTGGTTTTAAAATATCTAATAAGATTCGCTAATGAGGGCAATTAATCTTAAAAGATTGTATGTCTTGTTGTAGTTTTAAAATGGTTTAGTTTCAATTAACTTTAAAACTACTTAGTTTTATGAAGGACTTGCAGGTTGTTTGGTTTTATTATGTTCTAGATTGTGACGTTTTAGTTTTTAAGTAGTTTTAAAGAGATTCTTAATGTAACTAATAAAACCTATTGTTAAATCTGTTTGATCTTAGGACAATTTGGTCAGTAAATATTGCGTTTTAAAACTATTTTATTACTTTTCCTTATAACGGCTTTCTTAAATGCAATTAGATAGCTATATTAAAATGGAAAGCTCTTAACTAAATCAATTTGGTTATCGTAAAGACTACCTGTACTTCTTGTTAGAAACAATAAAATTAAATTTATCCTCTATTTTTACGTGGCCCAAATGAACCTTGCATTTTATATCATATCAAACAGGGGTGTACCTACAATAATTAGAAAAACTGAAAACAATATATTAATATTATTAATCTAAAAATACACAAAACACAAACGACAGATATGACACGAAGATTTTAAAGTAGGTATACATTAAAACCGAGCAGCATTTATCACAGCCGCATTAAAACTAAACCGTTTAAATCACAAGCGAACCTTTCTTTCGTCTAGGGTATGTGCTCTTGGAACAGTATTAAACTCGATTAAATAAAACTCTTTGATCTTAACGTTTCCTTGTCCATTAACTAAACGGTTTTATTTAATTTCCGGCCATTTTACTTTCTCAAAATGGTGGAAGCCATGATAGATAAAAATATTTAGGCTTACATAAAAACGACAAGTTAACTACTTAGACGTATAATTTCGATTTATTTTAATACAGAAAAATCTAAAATAATAAATAAAATTATTTTTCTCTCATTTATGTTTTTCAATTTTGTTTTTTTGAATTATTAAACTTCAGAAATTTTAAGGTCCCTAAGTGTTTTAAGACTTTTTCGTTAACATTTATCGATAAAGTCGGGTGCGCAGTATATATTTCTACCCTGACATTCCGAAATGACTACCTTACTTTTTATTATTTTATAGTTCATGATTAGAGCGTCACCATATTATCTTCAAATATAAATTGCTTCTATTTGCTAAAAGAATTATGTATATAGTATTAAAAAACTATTTTCATATGTTAACAATTATCTTTAAAAGTATACATGTAACTAACATTATTAAGTCCACTTCAAAACCGCGTGTGTTTAAAATGTATTTAAAGTGGTTTTAAAAGTCTTCACAGCAGCTTTAAAATCAGTTGTTCAAGGTAATATAGTTTTATGGTGCTTTTTATTTTTAGTTTTATTGACCTCTTTCATAGTGGGCCCTTTTATGCTGAATGCGTATTTATTACAACCTTAAGGCTCCTTCTAAAACTAATTCAGTGCTACTTGGGTGGTTACCAACCTGTGAATATGGAATATGATACTTAAATGTGTACACGCAGTACGTCATGCAACAACATGTATACGAAATTGGTAATTGGTATAATGAATTTAAAAATAAAGGCAAGTAGAAGTAATTAAAAAAATGTTAAAAATGTGAATTGACAAAAAAACCGAAATTAAAATGATAAAAGGAAAAATTCAAAGAACAGAAAAACAGGAAAATAAAAAAAAACTAATTCTGAATTTACGAGTAGGTACATATTAAATAAATTTCTAAAGATTGTAAAGATTATATAGAATTGAATAATTAGTAAAATAAAAGAAGAATTGGATAAATTAGAAAAATTTACTAAATTAAAAAAGAAAAATGTTAAAATAAAAAGCAGAAAAATACAAATATTTTGATTTTTTTTTAAATATAAAGTTACAAAAAAATTAAACAATAAAAAAATCTTTGATACTATTATAAGAAACATTACCAAATGCTCCAACTCTATAATTAATAGTAACCACAACAATTTCATGCTCCATAAAATAATGAGGTCCAACATTATCAAAATTACCAACTCCATTAACGAATCCACCTCCGTAAATGTAATACATTACCGGTAAAGACACGTTTGTAGACGGTTCCTAAAATAAAAACCCTAAATTATGTATTTAGAACCAACCACAAGCAAAATTCCAAAAAAAAATTCTAAAACTCACTATGGGAGTGTAAACGTTTAGATACAAGCAATCTTCATTTTCTAATGGATTTGTATTGTTGCTTTGTTGGAAACACATTTTATCATTTTTAGTGGCATCGAGAACACCTTCCCAAGGTTCTGCTGGTACGGGTTCCTAAAAATAAAGAACTCAAGTCAAAAAACAACTGAAAGAAAACATTAAAATTAAATTTCAAAGTTACCCAAGTAATACAAAAGAACAAATGTTCATAAACATCATATCAATAATGAGGGAGGTAATGTTTTGATCTGTATTTCGACTAAATTCACTATAAATACTTGCTCTAACTTATTTCTTTTATAATTTTAAACCAATCAGTTTTAAATTATTCTTTTAGTTAATGAAAATCGTCAAAAGTGTATTTGAAATATTCATGAAACACCGAGATTTAAAAAAAAAATAACAACTTGTGTATTTAGAGCACATGTTTATATGAAATTTTTGACCTCTTTCAGATATTGACATGACTTCTAGGCCCACACTATATAAACTATTAAATAATTTTAAATTATGACTTTGGATTATTAGCTGAGTATTGATTAATTAAACCTTTATGTAATCTTTATACGCTGATGACTCGAAATTATTATTTAGTGACCAATGTTTAGGATCTATCTAAAAATACATTTTAGTAATTTTCTGCTTGGTCTGGTGATTCTGCTATGTTGTTCATTATTAATAAAATAAACTGCGTCATTTCATACTTGGAAAAGAATTAATGTTTCTGCATTTAATAGTTTACAAATAATTCAGATATAAAAAAACTAAAAATGGTAGTACGTGAATTATACGTAATTGTTAAATGCTAAATGTGTTCAAGTAAGAAATTAAATAAAAGTTTAAAAGTGCATCATGATCGTCTACAATCTAGAATCAGTTGTGGAATCGCACAATCTAGGGAGGTTCTACCCATGGTTGTTTTAGCCCTTCGGAAGAAATGCCTGATGTGAAATGTTCTGCACATTCAATTAATACATGGATTCGAAAAATTGGCTTTCGCTTTAAAAGAAGTAACAACAGATAGTTTTTATTGATACCTTAACTATATCTAATTAAAGGGACTTTAATCCAGAAATTATTATTAGCTAAAAGGATCAAGGTCTAATTTATGAGTGCTTAAATATAATTAAAGAGACTTTAGGTCCAGATATAATTATTATAATTTAAGCTAATGAAACAAGGGTCTAAGTTATTACTGCTTAAATATAATCAAAGGGACTGTCCACAATTGTTACAATTTCTTCATCACCCCTCGTAACACAAGTTAAACGACCATCGCTCGCTTCGCTTTTCGATTTTGGCAAAAGCACGGCTTGCGCGCCGGTCCCTCATTTTTCTTTTACATTCACGCTAGTGAGATATAAAACCTGCTGCTGTCGCTCGGATAATTGTTTTTGGTGTGGTAGTGTGTGCCGACAAATAATTAGCTACTGTGAGTAGATTTCCGTAGTTATCTTCCTTTGTCTGTGTGTATTGTGTGTTAACGTTGGGATAATTGTCAGGTAATGTTTCTTTTACCTTATATTTTAACATTTTGCTGCATTTAGTTGGAAAACCGAAAGGATCGGCCATTTGCTTTTTTTTGTTACCATCATGCCGACGAATGTCGGTTATTATTGTTTTATTTAATTTTATTTAGATTGTAGCTACCCTACCTTATAATATGTTTAAGCTTTCTTTGATACTTTGATATATACGCGGGGAGGCAACTAAATAATTAAATTACAAGTCAGTCTGGAAATACAGTTTAAATGAAAATCTATGGCTCTTAACTTATTTTGGCCTTATAAATAGCTTATATTTTGTTCAGATGATGTAAAACTTATTATTATAACTTATTTTGGCCTTATAAATATTTTATATTCTGTTTAAAATTTGTTCCGTTTATGCATAAGTCCGTTAGATTTCCAAACTGGCATGTATATGTACCTTTACTGTTACTGAGGTTCTTTTTATTTCTAAACCAAGAAGCTCCAGGAAGCTCTAAGATCTAAGCTCCAAGAAGTGTGAGTTACGTAGTTGCTCCTAAAAGCTTTAAGCTTCAAGAAACTCCAAGCTTTAAACTCCAAGTTCGAGTTACGTAGTTTCTCCAAGAAGCTCAGAGTTACGTAGTTTCTCCAAGTTCCGAGTGGCAAGCTCCAAGTATCTAAGTAAAGGCGGATTGTCCACGACGAGACTAATATACCTATTAAATTCATATTCAACTTCATTCAATCCATTTTTTTATCTATTAGTCAATTTGAATTTTTTTCACGTTTACTGACTAATTATTAATTTATATTGTATAAATTCAATCTTTTTATTTTTTTAATCAATGTATGAAATTTTCTCTTTTATTTGCCAGAACTCATACTCATAACTCATGACTTTAAGTACCAGAGACGGACTCAATTAAACAGGGCATATAAAATCAGATAAATTTTCCATGTTACTCAAAAACTTGGGGGTGCTCAACATTTTTGTCGTTATAGTATTATAATATCTTTCATTTTATCGTAAAGTAGACTTTGGCCCGCGAACCTTGCCTCAAGCATTACAAAACAACTTAGAAAAGGAAGTGGACAACATGCTCAAATTAGGTATCATACAAGAGAGTAAATCCTCTGGCTTTTTCAAAAATCTGACGATAGAATTTCGCGTTTAAATCCACAAGATGATCAGGAAAAATTAAAAAAAGATTTTCTGAATGAAGTACTTTCTTTACAGGGGGACTTAGACTTAAAAGTAAATGGACCACTTGAACACTCAACCCCAACGAATCAAAATCATTCAGGGCAACACTTTTCTTTTCCTAGATAAATACCGATTTATAAATGGGGAATTACCTTTTCAAGATCTGAACATGAGTCAGTAATTGGTTTTCTGGAACGTATCGAATGTTTAAGAATTTCTCGTGGAGCCACTGACATTTTCCCTAGTGCAGTTGAATTGTTTACCGATAAAGCTTTTGTTTGGTATTTGAATTATAAGAATAACTTTCAAAGTTGACAATATCTTGTAGCCAAATTAAAGTCTGATTTTCTTCCGCATAACTATCAAGACAACTTACTAGAAGAAATTAAATCCCGGAAACAAGGCCAAAGCGAAAGAGTTACTGTCTTTATAGACTCAATGCAAGGTTTATTTAACCGTTTAGAATGCCCACCTAACGAGTCTGCTATGGTGAGGATAATTCGTAGGAACTTACTTCCTAAATATGTACAGCCCTAGTTTTACTAGATATCGATACCGTTAATGCCTTAACTGAGAAATGCAAAATACTCGAAGAATCTTTTACGTGGACGCAGAATTTAAACTCTTTTTCTTCTTTCCCTTCGAAAAAAAGTATCTGTTATCTAGAATCTAACTTAAGCACTCCTAGTACCTCTGGTTTTTCTGCTAAAAATAAAAATCTATCCATGCTTTCGAATTCCTCAAATATCACTTGTTGAAACTGTCACAAACAAGGACACACATATAGTAACTGTAGTATACCTAGGAATTTTTTCTGTTTCGGATGTGGAAAGCCTGGTATTTCAAAACCAAGTTGTTTTAGATGTCAAAAAAACGCGACTCTAATATCTCATCTTTACAATTGCCTCGGTTATCTTTATCTTACTTTAATAAAAAAAGATTGGAATGCATGGCTAGATTTTGTCAAAGGTTTTTATCAGAAAAAACAATACTTTCGACTTCTAATCAAGTATCGAAAAATAATAAATATATACCGCTTAATGTTATTAGTTCTGTCGATTCTTTACTATATAAAAAGGGTCAGTATAATAGGCCATATCTCGATATTTCGATTTTTGATAGAACATTTTCTACTCTCCTAGACACAGGGTCAAATATATCTCTTGTTAGTTCCTTTGTACTTAACTTTGTGAAGGATTTGTCTGTTCCCGTTAAAACTGCTGATGATCTTAGAATAACTACTGTGGATGGTCACGTACAAGATGTTTTAGGTTACCTTGATACATCACAATAGACAGAATATCTCGCCTTATGAAAATATGTCTTATACCTTCTGTTAAGCATCCTATTATACTTGGGATGGATTTTTTGAAGATTTTTAGTATAAAAATCGATTTTTCTAAATTTACCTTAAATATTAACTCTTTATCTTTATCGGTTGTTAATACTATTCAAGATACCTCACGTTTATCTGTTAGTTAAACAAGATAACTTGATACCGTTATTTCTAAATTCAAAACCATTTGTCCTTCAGACAAGTTGGGACGTACTCATTTATTAGAACACGTTATAGATACCGGAGATGCTCCTCCTTTTAAACAGAGACAATATCCCTTGCCTCAAGCTTTACAAAACCACTTAGAAAAGGAAGTGGACAACATGCTCAAATTAGGTATCATACAAGAGAGTAAATCCTCTGGCTTTTTCAAAAATCTGACGATACTCATAGGGTCTACTTCGACGGTAGAAAATTGAACAATATTACTCAGAAAAGGATGCATATGCTTTACCTCATGATGAAGTGATTTTAAGCCAACTTAGGGACGCGAGATTTATATCTAGCATAGATTTGAGGCATGCCTTCCATCAAATTCCTTTAGAGGAGAAGTCTCGCCCCAAAACTGCTTTTTCAGTGAGAGGGAACGGCTTATTCGAGTATGTTATTACACCCTTTGGTTTAGTTACTGCCCCTGCTACTATGTGTAGACTTATGGATATAGTTATAGGCCCTTCCCTGGGGCCATTTTGTTTCTATTATTTAGACGAAATTATTATCTGTACTCCAAGTTTTTAAAAACATTTAGAAGTTCTTGAAAAAAATTTTGTGAAATTAAGTGATGCTAATTAAACTGTAAATATCGATAAATGTAACTTTTGCCGGCCTTCACTTAAGTTTCTTGGGTATATAGTGGATGCAAACGGTCTACGTACCGATCCAGATAAGGTTTAAGCCATTATAGATTACCACATACCAACGACTAGTACTCAAATCCGTAGATTTCTTGGTATGGTTTCTTACTATCGACGGTTTCTTCGAAATTTTTCGACATTATCTTCCTCGGTCTCCGACCTTTTACAGGACAGGAAGAAGAAACAACCCATTACATGGACCCCAGAGGCAAATAAGGCTTTTGAGGATACTAAAATATCCCTAACATCTA